ATATTTAAAAAATAAAGAATATAATATGCTTTTCATATATCCTTTTGGTGTAGTAAATTACTTAAACGTAAATTAAAATCTCTCCGGTGACTCAAATAAAAACTCTGTTCAAGATATGACAGAATTAGATTGCTTATTACTACCTAATAATAGCACAAATAATCTATCTTTGATTAGGAGCTTAGTTAAACCTATAATTAGCCCATTAAGGAAAAGAGGACAATAGAGTTAAAATGATTATGTTGGATTGATCAATCCATAACAAATTAATCACAGAATGATGAGGAAGTTAGGTAGGCATTTATCAATCCATAACAAGGTAATTAAGGCTCACTCCATGGAATAAATAATTAATTGATTAAGAAATATAACTCACATTACCCGCTATAGAAAATGCCATTAATTAATTTTGTAGGACGTTAATTACCCAGATGCTTCTTCTTTCCAGGCAAAAGCATATGATTATATATTTATTTTTATTTAATTTTTTTCTTGTTTAAACTTATATAGTTAAATACTCCTTGAAGCCAAAGATTCAAAGACTATTGTGAATCGATTTGTTAAGATAGCTTCCTTTAAGCATTTGCTGAACTGTATTTAACTGCACCTCTTCTATTTTATGGTTTACTTACGCTATGTTTTGGATTAAAACTTGGAATCCAGATTCACTTCGAAGGACAATTAATTAACAGATATGGAACGTTGCATTGAAGCATATATTTAATCTTTTGTACTGCTTGTTGTAATTGACATCTTAAAGTATATATATACCCTAGAGAATTAAGAAAAGCAATCCATCCATCCATTTATAATCTAAAGCTAGCTCTATTTTTGTGAGAGCAACATATTTTCTTATTCTTCACTTTTTGGTCAGATAAATAAGCTTCAGTTAATTAAGGTCCTCATGAGCTATTAAATATAATATACTTTGATTATCGCAAGAGAGAGAAGCCAAAAAAAAAAAATCTGAATCTAACAAACAGTGACGTAATAAGACTAAGTGAAACAAAGTTTACGAATGGAATCCTTCTCCTATCCCATTTTCCTAGCGTGAGTTCCTCAAAATATGAATTAAGATATAAAGTGATTATAAGAAAAACACACTCGTTTGTGTTTACTTCTAATATCTGAATATAACAAAAAGTGATAATTCATAGCTGATCAGCTAGCCTAAAACATAAAAAATAAATAACTAATTTATAAAAATTAATTAAATTAATTATGTATAAGAAATATGTGTTAGTTTTCTTAAAATGTCCATTTTTATCATTTGTATTGGATATTATTCTACTCTTTGATGATGAAAAATCCTTTTAATACATACTTAATAAGAAAAATTTAGGAAAGAATTAGAAATTTTGAGAGTCAGAGTGAGTTAAGATATTAGGTTTAGGATCGGATAACAAACCCTTTTGGTAGCTCAAATATTGAAAATAAGTAGTGGGGAGTATTGTACATATAAAATCATTTTAGGAGCTTTATATATATTTCTATTTCTCAAGTATACAAAAAAAAATTGAACAAGAAACTAGATGTCACATTTAGTATGGGAGGCAGTAGAATCCAAATTAATGATCAATGTGTAGTGGTTGAGTAACAAAATTTGAGGATGAAAAGGTATACATGACAAAATCAAGTTGTTGCGGAATGCCTTGAAGAGGAAGGCATAATATTTTTGAGGGCAGCATGAAGTGAAGGATGGGTTGGTGGAAGTTATAAATGAGAGCGTGTTTGGTTTTGAGTTTTAATTCCTCATCTGGCCATGCACCCCACTCCCCACCCTAACTACCACTTGGCCGCTGCTTTAACTTCAACTTCCTAAGTGAACGTTTTAGTTTTTGTATGGGAGGAGTTGTCTCATAAAGTACTATTTCTGCTTCTTAATTAATACAAGAACCAGACAATTAATTTAAAAATATTAAGAAAATTAATTAAATTAATTATTTGTAATAAACATGTATTTGACTTCATAAACTAATTTATTTAATCATATACATTGGAACTATCTCTCTGGTTTTGGGAATCCCTTACAATCAATAGTAATATTTTGAGATAAAAATTATAAATTTTGGAGATAAAATAAATTGAGATCTTATATTTAGAATTAAATTTAACACTCCAACTCATTTTTTTTATTAAGTACCAGAAGTAGCATAAAAATAATATTTTGAACGGATACCAAACACCACCTTAGCTCTCCCACAGGTTACTTCGTTTTCGCTAATAGGGAACAAGTATTGATGTAGTTGATAAAAATGTGAATCATATTCTGCAAAGACTTGAATAAAAAAGACAACCTAATATAATCATGATCATTAATGAATTAAAATTCATGCTGTACATCTTTGCCAAGCACCAGAGAAATATATATAATTTAGTTATTAGAATAACAATTTTTTAGCCAATCAAAAAGAGACTAAATTAATTGAAAGCGCAGAAGAACCACTCTCCAAAGAGTTCAAATAGAGGGTAATAAACTCATGATAAGGAGATGGATAACTAAGAGTCATCTCTTCCAAATCCATGCAACGCGTCTTGAACATCCCTATTATAACAGCCATTGAGTAGTACAAGCTTCGTAATATTCTAAACTTCACTTTCTTCACTCCCTTTATTTCCTTCCATTTACTTCTTTTTTCACACATTCTTACTGCTCCCTTAAATATATATTCCCCAGGAGGTGAAGGTGCCTGAAATACCAAAACAAACTAAGTTATTGAACTACAAACAAGATTTTATGTTAAGGATGTAATATATAATGTGTTAGCTAACTTGAAAGGCTAAATCAACATAAATGTTTGAATATATAAATTGAAATCATAGAATTAAAATTGAATTTTTTTGGTAAAACTATGAGCAAAAATTGTTAAATACATCAAGTATGGGAAAAATGTAAACACACGTACCGCTTTAGAATGGGGTAAAGGCTCAAATTCATGGCTTACAAAGGTTAGAGTTTCTAAATTTGATATTCTTTTGAGGAAAGTCATTAGGACATCCCCCAAATGAGCATTATCCTCCTCTTTTGGATATGAATTGTAATAATAAAATGATCGTTCAACACATATTTCCAAGTGGCGAACATTTCCAAATGAAATGGATGGCTTCCCATGTAAATCCTGCAAAGCGATTAAAACAAGAAAAACCGGTTCATTTGATTTTTCATATATAATATATTAGGCGCTAAAATTAAACTGCACTAAGATTATTCCAATGTCAAGATACTCGTGTCGCCAAAATATTCCCGCAGTAATAATTTGAATGGTAAGAAAACGAAATTATACACATAACGCAATCGTGAAGTGCATTTGTGGAATTGAATTAATCTTATTTTATGTTTTTAATATATATTACCTCCCGTTTTTAATATAAGGGTTAGTTTAACTTTTAATTTATTCCTAAATATAGGATATTAATAACTTTGTTTCTCATATTTAACTATTTCTTAAAAGTAATTTCTATAATAATTGCACATTGTTAAAAATTTCATTAAATAGTAATTTTAGCTAATGTGTATTATTAGCAAGAGTATTTGAGAGGGAAGACAACATCTGTTACAAATAACTAGTTTAATAAATTTCTTTAATCCACTCAAATTAATTAACTAGTACTTATATTAAGGATAAAAGAAGAATGTCTCCATTTCATTCCCTCTCCAGTTTCTCTCCATTTATTATTTTTATCATTGGATTAACATCCAATGGTTGGGATTTAATATATTATAACAATATTATTATAATATTAATTAAAATATATATATATAAGCAGTCAGAAATTAATATGCATACATTACTACTAGAATTTTATTAAAATATTTTATAATTTTTTTGTTTTTTATCCTATGCTTTTTTATTATAATAATATCATAGTGTTTATTTATGTATAGATTAAAGTTATTTATATATATTTTTATTATTTAATATTATAATATTGTTATAATATATTAAATTTCAATATTAATCTAATGCTGCAGATAGTAAATGAAGGAAAGTGAAGAAAAAATTAGATGAAAATATTATTTTCCATATTAAGGACTGAAGCTAGCATTTGTTTTAGCGGTTAGTTAAGTGAATCACAAGTTTAGGGGCAAGTGGATTTCGTTAGGATTATTTACTCAGTCAAGTGTTTAATTTTAAATATTTTTATTAAATATGTTCCAATTTGTTATTTTGCTCAGTCATGTGTCACAGAGCCTAAATTGTAGGAGTCAAATAAAAATCCACTAGGTTGTTAAGGATCCCAACATCTAGGGTCTTATTTTTGGAGTCGGTTATTGCCTACATTTTATTTTCTTTCTTCACATATATAGTATTCGAGCCCTATAAATAGAACGTTGAGAAATAAACAAATTATTTGATTCAACTGGGCATTATATTCCCTTATTATTGGCTGTTAAGATTAATAGAGTGAATTAACTTCAGGTTGGACTGGATTAGATTTAGACCACAGCATCAGGTTTTTACATACCTTTATCTTTGGCTATTAGTGGGATGTGAGTGAAATCCTTACCTCAACTCTCTAATAGGTTATTTTATTTACTGCCTCTTATTTTTCCTTTACTACCGTTTTTACCAAATGCAAAACCTCCATCCTATTTTTAAACCATTGGATATTTTAGGAAGATTAAGTCACATTCGTTATAATTAAATAATTTTTTTAAACTTTTTTAATCAACTAAGTAGCTCTTAAATTAAAGACTAGAGGAGTATTAGTTTTATGGGAAAAAAAACTTAAGTCAAATTTTGTATGCCTATCATGTCAAATTCTCTAATCACTCGTATTTTTAAAATATTAGTATTAGTATTTAATAACATTTAATCATGAATTCACATGAAATTAAATAAAAAGGATAAATGATCATGTATAATTAAAAAAATTTGACACAATAATATGCGTGACATAAGTATTGTTCTTATTTTTAATTTTTTTAACTTTACTTATCTAATGGAATAGAATCAACGTTACAGTTATAAACCATATAATATGGGAGATCAAATAATTCAAGAACTAACCTTGAGCATATACGTATCCATGTGCTGCAGTTTTGCCCAACGCATAGCCTCAAATAATTGAATGAGCAAATTCAAATTCCGGAACTTCAAATGAGTCATAACGGCAACATCCAAACTCTTGAACGTCCTTCTTGCATCATAACGAAGTCTTGGAAGAGCCCCTCTCCAGCTAACCCTTTGCAGATTAGGCGCAGAGATCTCAACTACAATCTCATCATCGACCTTGTAACTTAAGGCTCGTAGGTTCTCAGTGATAATCCTCACAGCTTTGAAGTTGCAACAATATTGAATGGTTAAATCCTCCAAACACGAGCTTCCTATTGCAAGTTCTAATTGTTTTGCTGAGACCCTCGCGGTGATAGAACAAAGGAATAAAGTTTTCAAGGATGGGAAACTCTCAGAAACCCACTCACCAACTGAATCCTCAGTTTTAATAAATCGCATATGAAGAGTCTCGAGGGAAGCAATTTTCATCATCTCAGGAAGCTTCACCCAGGCGAGTCCCCTCATGTTAAGTTTCAGAACTTTCAGGGACTGAAATCTGGGGAGGCTTCCGAAGATGGAAGGGAGTTGGTAATAAAGATAGAGTTCGTCGACATGAAAAGTTCGAAATAATTTATTGATCCACTCGTCGTGAAGGCTACGGTGTTGGGGTATCTTGCAGAAAGATGAGAAACAAAGCTGGTTAATTTTGAGAGCATGAGGAGGACGACGTTGGAGAAGAGTGTTCATGAAGTTGAAGACATGTGGGCATGCACAGTTGCGAACACGAGGATCAAGATCAGGTTCAGAAAAGAAGAAGGAGGGGGCGGTCGTGCATAGGGTTTGGAACCTCCTGGACAAGACGCTCAATCTCGCTATATTTCTAATGCCGAGGAAAGAGAAGATGCGATGGAGAATTTCATCTGGTAAATTGCTCAGTGAATATCCTGCCTCTACTTCTTCCATTGTGTGAATCCCTAGCTAAAATTATACACAGCTGGCATTAATAATGAATGAAGCTTGACGCTGGGTTTCAGCGTTCGTAAGAGTGATGGTTGTGGTGAGATCTACAAAGTCCAAGTACAATTTTAATAATCCAAATTTAAAATTTTTGAATAATAATTTTTAAATAATAAAATTACTTTTTTAAAAACAGATAGTTGAGAGATTATCTTTGTACTAAATGATGTACCCATCAAAATAATTTTTTAAGAAAATAAAAGTAAAAAAACATAAATCTAAGATAGCGAGCACTAAAACTCAATCCAAAAACATGGACAGATATCATAATTTAAATTGGCATTAATCACATTAAGTAGCAGAAAATTAGGAATCTATTCACCTTATTTGAATAATTGAATGCCTAATTGTAAAAATTTACAGGCGCATCCCTAACTTATTTTCATGATCTTTAGATCATATCGATCAAAAGGCCCCTTAAATCAGGAGAATAAATCAGATACATATATACACACATATATAACGAAAATTGAAATGATATCGAAAAATATAAGATAAATTGGCCCAAAACAAAAAGGATAAATATAAGATAGGAATAATCTTTTCAAATTTTGTTTAGATTCAAAATATTATCTACAAATAATTAATTTTCAAACTTTTCTAAATCTAAATTTAAGATTTCCTATTTGAATTTGTGGCTTATATTATGCCCATCATATAGGTAGAGAGATAAATTCAACATAAACAAAATGAATGCTTCATATAAATTTAGAGATAACAATGTTTTATCAAAAAAAAGAAAATAAAGAGGCAGGAGAGAAAAAGGTACCTGCGAAGTGTTTAGAGGGAGAAAATGACGGTAAAACTCAACCGTTGGCTGGAATTTAATTGAGGATTTGAGGGCGACACTACTTATTTGCATCATTAATATGACGATATATTAAAAATGTGAAATTTATCATATTTTAAGAAACTCTGCCTATTCTAATTTCTATATATTAGGAAACAAGTACATTCCAATATGCCAGGAAATATTCCCTAATTGCCTTCCAAGTGAGAATCCCCACATTAAATATAATCTTAAGTAATAATTAAATTCTAATTTAATTTATGTTTTAACTAGGTGGGAAAAAAAATCTAATTTGACTCTAATACCAGTTGGTATAAAATGTGCAGAAAAGAGGGTGGGGGAGGAATTTTTTTTTCTTTTTTCATTCCTAGATGCGATTAGTACATTTAGGGGTTGGAGAGTAGCTGTTGATACCAATTTTTATAGGTTATACAAGAGAAAAAGAGAGAAATTGTACCAAAAATTAAATATTCTCACTATTTTTATGTATTTAAAAATTATTTAGAAAAAGGTTAAACAGTATTTTTGTTTTGATTTTTTTAAAAGTAATATCGCTCCGAAAATAGTAAAAACAGAGCAGTATATAATTGATTAACTTTTGTTGAGGTGGCATGTTTATATGCCGTCTGCCTGACCTTTTTTCCATCTGTATGACATCTACCTTACTTTTTTTTACATGTCAGATTTTGTATTAGGAAAAAATAAAAAGAAGTTGCCTCACTGATAATCTTGATTTTGGTTGACCAAACGGTATTTAAAAAAAGAAAAAGAAAAGGCAAAACCAAACATAACTGTGATCAAATCATCCATTTTAGATTCCTGTTGAGTTTAAGATACGAGTCTTCTTCGTATTTCTTCACCATTGTCGGCAAAAAGAATGAACAATAAATATATGCACTGATTAATTTTGATCCTAAAATTTACAGTGTTACACCAAAAACTACACATTTCCTAGCCTGTTAGTTCAAAACCAAATATCCGTTATGAACATAAACCCAGAAGGAAAAAAAAAAAAAAGCAAACAGGAGCAAGAAAATGATTCAGAAAAATTGGATGCCGTCAATGGGAGCAAGTGGTTGTCGTTTTGATTTATAAATCAGAATCAAGTTCAAAAGTTGATTCCCCTATTTCAAGGTTAAAAATTTCCCTAATATTGCAATGAATAATCTAGGGAGAACGAAGATTCAAAATTGCGATGTTGTATACCAATTCGTCGTCTTCTCCATTTACAGATTTCTGAGCACAAGTAATGGAATAGCAAATAATTTGGGTCCCAAAAGAAAAAGAATAGCAGGTCATTGGTTTCTGAAATTCAATCAAGCAAACAAGTTGGAAGAGTATAATCAAACCTGAAGCTGTACAACATATCCTTACTGTATCTCTTGCCTGGGCTGCTGTTTCTTTGGCAAATAGCAGGGAAAGGGAATATCGGCTCCTGCTGCTGCTACTATTTTTTGTCGAACTTCTTCAGATGCAAAGGAGGAACGGATCATCAGGAAGCTAACGCGAATTGCACTGAAAGTATGTTAGACGACGTCGTCTGTTTTGAGAGGAGTGGTAATACTCTCGCTTGGGACGTGATTAAGGTCGTCACCGGAGGACGACGCCGTCATGGTGGGCTGCGAATCGGCATCTGAGATTGATGAAGTAAATCTTTGGTTGCCTTCTCCCTCTATGCCCCACCTAGGGTTTGAAAGTAAGGGCATGTTTAGCATTTTACATTTTATGTGCTATTTTTGATGGCCTGGTATGATATATGGCAAAATAACTTACCTAGAAAGGAATAATATGCTACGTGGCAGAGCCATTTCATTATAAGTGGGTCAACAAATGTTCACTGTTTGGGTCTATTAAGACATGTCAACATTACTATGATTTTGAAATTTTCAGAATAATATTGTTTCAAAAAATACTTCTAAATACACATATTTCTTTCACAAACAAAAATATATATTCACCCTTTAAAAAATTAATTTCATTGTATTTTAACTCAGACACAATTGCCTAAAATTAGTTGTCCAAAAATTTGTATATTTGAAGAACACACCAAAATAAATTTTACAAATTTTCTATAATGTAAAAATAACCAAAATTAAAATTCTCTAAATTTAAACAATTAAAGCCCTTTACATAACAACTTTTTGTAGTGTTTTTATTTTCAAAAACCTAATAAAAAGTAAATATTACAATATAAATAAAATCTAAATCCATAGTTACGGTAGCCGTGAAAAAATTGAAACAGAACATTCCATCAAAATTGGGACGGCCGCACGATTTTTCGAGAGACAGAGATCTCGGAGATCTCGTCCCACGGTGAACAACCCTAATTCTTGCATACATAAGAAACCACTCACAACTGAAGCCACAACATCACATATAAGAAGCCAATTTCTTGAGATTGGTGAACCAACACAATTCTTGAGCGGCTTAAACCAAATGTTTTAAGTACTTAGTAAATCAACTCATATAGATATGTTACCCTTATTTATAGACTATAAATAAGATTTTATAATTAGAATCAGAAGTGATATTATGGTTCAAAAATACTTAGAAACTTCAGGTCAAAAAAAGAAGAAGAAGAATGCTTAGAAACTTTGTTGGCAAAAAAAAAAAACAAGGAAAGAAAGAAACTTTACCTCTCATATTTAGAGCTTGTTTGAATTTTATTTTAGTCCTAAATATAAGATCTCAATTCATTTTATCTCTTATATTTATATATTTTTTTAAAATAGTTTTTTTAATGATGATAGTTCTATCCAATATACTAGATTAATAAATATATTTTAAGAAAGACAACACTTTTAATCTACTTAAATTAGTTAATTAATTCTTATATTAACAATATGAGGTAGTCTTCACCAAAAAAAGAATAGGAGGTAGTAATAATTAAAAAAAAAGAGCCTTTTGATAATTATGTACTATTTCAGTCCATGGCTTTCAACATGACACCTCATCACACCCTCTTCTATCACATGGCATTTCGGGAAGTTTTGGTGGAAAGCGAATCATAGTTTTAAATATAATTTTACAAATATGTATATTAAAATATTTTTGTCTTGACTTACATAAAAATATTTTTTTAAAATTTTTTTAGCAAACTGAATACTAATACTACTTTCATTCCTAATTATAAGACATCATTTATAAATAATGTCTTATAATTAGTACAGAGGTAGTATTACACCTGCCAAAAATTAATTAAAAAAAAAAAAGCTTGCCTTACTCATCCTTGACATACGAAGCTTGGCTTTCGCTACTCTCCTCTCCTTCTGTTGCTTTGTCTGCGCGGCACTGCTTTTATTGATTTTCCCCTTCCTAGTCTACATGATTTATTTCTTGACCTAAAATCGCTGCAGTGGCTTCGTCTTTCTTCATTGTATTAGCTCCATCCAGTGGCCCACACCCTTCCAGCATTCTGTTGATCTACTCGAAGTTCGCCAGTTAGGTACCTCCTTTTCCATCTGCAGTAGCTACGAGGTTCCTTTCTTGAATTATTCTGCCCCATGGGAATGCATTTTACTAAAGTTGATGAGAACATGAATCTTTGTATTTTAGTTACTACTAGGTTATTGGGCCTATGAGGCCGAGGCCCATTTTAGGCGGACTTGAATGCTGGATACATTTCTTATGTGCCAAGCTTCAGTTGCAGATATAAATAGACGGGCCTTCGTCTTTGTAATTGATTTGGATCTAATATAGAAATAAACCAGTGCTTTCTGGGCCATATACATGTGTCTTCATGGTATCAGAGCTTGGTTGCACAGATCCACTTCCACTCAGTAAAACAAGACGGCGTCGTTCTGCTTAACCCAGGGACCCTTGCCATGAATGCTGAGATATTTCGACCTGGTTCTGCAATTGCGTTGCGGTGAACCCAAGAAAAGGTGAAGACGCGTCGCGAAATCTGGTAAGGAGACGGTGAAATCCGTCGCATCTCTTTCAAGAACGGAGGTGATCTGAGCGAATCTGGACCAAGAACGCAGCCATGGCAGAATCGAGACAATCCACCGAATCCGCAGCGGCTGCTCTGAGCTTCACACATCCGCTCTACCTTCACCCGTCAGATACCCAGGGGATGACCATCATATCTCAGGTCCTTACCAGAAGCGAAAATTACACGGTGTGGAGCCGTGCTATGCGAATAGCGTTGAGAGGC